ACACTCTAAATCAAAGATGTATAAGCTTGCCATTTTATGCCAGCTACTTTGTGGCATCAGAAGTTCATTTGGCAGGTCATGCCAAGCAGTACTATTTCACTTCTTAAATTGGACTTGCAAAGAAATAAGCACATTTGCACTAAAGCCTTTACCACTGTACTTTTGCTCAAAAGCCTCAGGGTCAAACTAAAAATTTGCAAGCACAAGGCTATTTAGGAAGTGTAAGTAGCAACTATATTTAGCACTATCCAGGTCTGAACATTTAAGCTAGCAAAAATCAGTCTCAGATACATAAAAAAAACAAACTATGAGTAGTTTGTGTTCCTGTGGCATAACTTCTAATTAGCAATTTAAAATGTTATCCACAAAAAATATCTAATGGGTAACTGTGGGTCCCAAGGACATGCATAATTTGAGTGTTCACTTTCCTTAGAAAACTTGACTTTTCACTGGGGTAAAATGCAGGAAAACCCAAGAAGCTATTTGAAAACAGCAGCTACTATGCCTTCTGGAAGCTGTAGCTCTGGCCTACATCCCCGCTCTCCATCTTGGACTGTGTTCCCTAACCACAACGAACTCTATGCATTTACTGTAGGGGCTCAGCAAGAGAAGACCAGGGTGGGTATATCATGGAAGACAGTCTAACTGGCCAATCCAACTTGCAGGAGAATGGGGGAAATCGGACACCAAAGCTGTGCCTCAAGTCTAAAACTAAATTTCTGAATTTAAAGTGTTTAGTTTTAGGCTGGAGGCAACTTTTTGTCAAAGCTACCGGAGGGAAAAAAAAAATCCGCAGCTTTATATTTGCTATGAAAATTAAGTTATATTTTTGTCCAGAGAAAAAAACCACCTCATTTTCCAACCATTTCTTCTTGAAGTGATGCTCAGAGACTTAGTTAGCAGTTAAGCTGGAGTCAGGGAGAAGGCCAGGCAAGAGTTGCATTTCACAGACTAATTCAGAGGCATAAGCTTTTGTAAGCAACAGCTTAAAGTACTGATAGTGTACTATCACTTGGATTTAAAAAGGACTTGGGTTTTTGCTTCCTCAGTACTTCATAGGTACAGCTACTCCTTGCTTAATGTCGTACTTATGTTCTTGAAAAGTGCAACTAAGCAAAACAGTTAAGGGAATCCAATTACATCACAGTATTTACCTACTAGCAGGCAGCAGCCAAACGATGTTATAGCTTAGCATTGCGCAACTTTAAGCAAGTACGTTCTTTGATGGATCAGTGACGTAATAATGAAAGGTTAACTGGGACAATGCAAGTGAGGAGTACCTGTACTGCATTAATGGTAACATTCTCAAGCCACCACTTGCACACTGAAAAAATGCTTCGAGACATATTCCAGCATTACAAGGAAAGGAAGATGCTCAAGCATCAGGGAGATTTTTCTTACAGTGACCATCACATCGTACGAGGATTTTTTAATACATACACAAGTGGCATTACCAGAATGACTATACCCACATTCAGTAGCTAAACTAGGAAGCAGGTCATTTTGCCCTTCATATGGAAAACAAAAGCATGAAACATTTGAAGTTGGACCCTGCACTCAGGAACTTAAAGATATCAAACCAAAAGTTGGCACCTTTCCATTTTTTTCAGGCTTGTATATAGGAAGATACCTTGAATCTTTAGAGTTTTAGCATGTAGTTTACAAGCAATTTTACTTTTGATCCAATTCGACATTAGCTACATGTGTGTAAAGGCCAAGCATATGCTATCCATGAAAATGTAAAGGTGAATGCTTCCGTGACTGGAGTATAACCATCTAAAATCAATAACAATATCCATTTGTTTAAAAAATATTTTTCCAAGGCTGCCAGTGAATTCAGTTCAATTTTCTTACGAGCCACCACCTACACACACGGGTCAGTCATTTGTGTAACATTTATGTCAGTGTAAGAACTAGAAAGACATTACATATGACTAGGGCATGTCAAAACATAAGACAGGAGGCGGCGGGGGAAATCATACTGAGTTGAGGACATGTGTCCTGTCTACACCAGCTTAATAATTAAGAGACTCTATTCCATTAATTACTGTCTAATCAGGAGCAATCTGTAAACTTCTAGTTATGTGCTATGACAGGTAAGGGTGCAATGAAATGTAGAAAGGCCATCTTGCTGAAGCCATTTTTTGAAATGCTGAAGTGAAACCAGCACTGCACCACAACCATTTTATTACAGAATCTCCAAGTGCTTTACAAACATTAGTGCCATAACGCTATCATGAAGTACTTATCGTCTCCACTCTACAGACAACGAAATGAAAGATTGACACACTTCTGCAGGCACACAGGAACAGAGACACAGTCTGCCAGGTCCAGTACCTTGTCCACTGGACCATCGCTCCTCAGCAGAAGGATCAGCAGGAAAGAGAAACATCTTCCAAATTATTCCATTTCCTTCTATTTAATTTGATGAGAAATCAAATGCTGAGTTTCCTTTTAGCTACGAGATGCTACTAGCAGCTTCCAACCTTTTAGAGGTATGGTTGCAGGGCAGTCCTCAAAAAGGAAAGAATTTAAACAAGATCATCTGCTTTGCATGAAAGAGTCTGTGTTTTCTAACTGTAGGTGTTTACATTAGAGCAACTGGCCAGTATCGCCGCCTCCTCCTGGGGTACAATGTGCCAATACACATCAGTCCTCCATTGCAGGCTGCCAGCCTTTCTGCAGGCTACATGTACTAGGGCTGCAAACCACTCTGGCAATCCTGGAAGTAAATGATTTTCAAGCATTTTAACATAATTTCATTGAACACATAGCCAGTAAGATTGTCAAATATAATTTGTCAAATTTCTATTTTACCTGTTAACATTTTCAGATTGCTGGGAACAGGACTGGTCACTTAAAATATATCTATACATAGCTTCACCAGGAGCAAACCCACTTCAATTTACAGTATAAAGCTCACAGGTCTACCATAGCAATTTGGTCTGTAGTATCACATTCTAGGACTACTATGCCACCGAGGCATCAATATTCTCTTACGGTTTCGCTAGCAAGCATCCCTACTCCCCCAGTTCTTTAGAATGCGTTAACTTTGGACGTAATCTAGTATCTCAAACTTGCTACTCCTGTACAGAATTACAGTTCCTTTGAAGACATCTTTTAAACCATGAGCCCAATACCCCTCATACTTCTACTCTTCCTCTCTTCTCCAGTTGGCATCTTCCCACTGCCATTCTTGCATCCAAACGCGATGAGATTACTAAATCAAGTGTAAAAATCCCAATTAAAGATTTGCAAAACAGCTTTCTACTTGAGTTCTCACAGCACCTTGCCCACCCCCCCAATCTCATGCTTTTATTCACTGTCATCAGTTTTATAGTTTAAGAAGACTCTTCAATCTAGCACACCATGCACACTTCACACAATTTATACGTTAGTTCTACAAGAGAAATTCTAGACTGTGTAACAAGTTTCCACATTTATTTCCAGCATACATTACATTTATGAAGTCATATTCTACACTCCAGTACTCTTGAGATAAGAGCATGGTCTGCTTTCTCAGAATACAAATTTAAGACTCACCTTGACATGTAGCGTTTTGTCTGACTGCAGAATTTTGGATACCATTTTCCCCTGCCATCCCAGAACAATGTATGATCAACCACCCCTGAAGGGAATCAAATCTTATTTACACAATCGGTTTAAAATCTGACAGCTTTCCCCAGGAGAATCCACTATGAAAGTGACTTCTACACTGGCAAATCAGTTTTTCTTTACATAAGCTTAGGCACCTTATTCAGCCTTTAAACAGGGGCCATTCAGACGTTTACTCAGCAGTTACACTATATACCGGTCTTTCCTATTTTGGGCTTAGTATTGGCACTCCATTTCTCAGTGATATATATAGATCCTCATTTAAATACAAGATTTAGAATACAATTTTACTAGAGCAGTTTATAGCTATAAATAATTTTATTAGACACCTGTGTTTTAAAAAGGTTAAGGTCACATTTAGATACTTCAGGTCATGATTCAGAATGATACACCCTGGGTGTTGACAGGACATGGCCTGAAGCTAAAAAGACCCAGGCATAATTACTCAGCTGCCTACAACATAATCATGGCTTAATGATGAGACTTAAGTGACCTGCAAGTAACCCTCTAATTTCTTGTTCACAGCTTCCTAGTATTTATCCTTTGGGCAGAACACACATTAGACTCACAGGATTTTTAGTTTTCCCATTACATCAAGCTAGAAAGATGCTGTTTCCCCATTATATCAAGCTACCCAAAATTGGTGTAAAGTGTTTTACACAGACTACATTTTGTATTACTGGGTGGCTACTTCCACCAGGTTTCCATGGTATACCATTCTTTCTAACCCTAAGATGTTTTTTCGTTGTAATCTTCACAACTGTAGTAGCAAGGTGTTAAAATGAGCATTCCATTTTCAAATCTGTTTTATCTTGCATGTTCCCCTTACATAATTAATCTTTTGGTAAACAAACAAGCTGTATTGCATGAGATAAAGTCACCACATTAAAATGCTAAGGGCTAGCCAAATATATGTGGAATAAACAAGATAAGATGAACATAAACTTAATGCCTGCTGTAAGTATACAACAGTTTATTTAAAGTTAAGTCCTCACCACAGCATAAGAATTGCTTTGGACTTATTTCTAGAGTTTAGTGAGCTTGATTCTGTTTTACTGACAGATCTGGCTAAGTAATTCACCTTGGATTTTCTTTTAAATTAAAAATGCTGAAAAATAATCTTTAAACTTCTGAATAGTTAGCATTTAAAAACTAGTGCGAAACAACCCCTATGCAACTCAAAATATAAACACTTCATTTTAATATGGTCAATCTTCAATTTTAATTATGCCAAGAGACTGATAATAACAATAAGACAACCATGCAGAGGGTTTTTTTAAAAATTTTATTTGTCAAAGGAAAAAGGCAATTGCCAATTGAAAACCTACTTAATCTTTAACTTCAGTTTTTGTCTTTAAATTTAGAGAAACGACTTATTGATTTACTTTTTTTTTTTTTAAACAAACCCCCCTTTTCCCCTTTAATGTTTACCATCTACTCGTGCTGAATCCTTCCAAGGAGATTGCTCCAGCGTACCTCTCCAGGTCCTCGCTTTGCTCCTTTTACCAAAAAATGAAAAAAAATCCTTCGTGCATCTTAAGGGCTCCAATCGTCAAAAATAGGAAAAATATCTTTGGAATAGCCAATTGAGTTGAATAAAAAAAATCCACACGAATGCGGTTTGGTTGGGGCAGGAATCCACTCCTATGTTCCTGGTAATTTGATCCCGCTCCATGAATCCTTGTAATTCAGCCTCCCTATCCTATCCACATTATGATTTGAATCCAATGATCCAGCTCCAAGGATTGGGATCCAGTGAGCCCTCTCCAATCCAAACCTTTATAACCAGCAAAACCAAAAAAGAGGAGGCAAAAAGTTAGATACTGTAATGAAAAAATAGGATTCTGGGGAATGATGAGTTATGTTTGCCATCAATTAATTAAGATGTACATTAATAACTATCAATTCCCCAAAACAAACTTTTGAATGGTGATGTTCAGATAAAATTTTAGAAACGTTAATTATTTGGAGGAAATACTGTAATATTTACATATGTTAACTGGTAGCGCCAACATAGTCATTGCTTGCATGGTGAATTACAGGTTTTGTGGTTGTAAAAAAAATGTTTATGAAATTGGAAAAGTTGACTGCTAAAGCTATCCACCTACTGTATGTCTAAACTAAAGCTAATACTCCCATCTGGAGGGTAACAAAATTAACTGCTTTCACACATATCAGTGAGTCAATTGTGCATTAGTCTGAAGGGGAAGGGTTGAGATTTAAGGAATTCTTCCCAACTAGTTTCATTTTTGCTTTCATTCTGATACTTAAAAAAAAAAAAAATGAAGTAGCAACGCTATATCAGTCACACAGAGGACATGCAGATTTTAGCAGTATTGATATTATACTCTAACTGATTTGAAGATACCCTGAATCTACAAGAGTGTACAAACACTACGCAACATTAACACTTGTAACCAAATGCTGCATGACAAAGTGAACTGCTATGCCCACCCCCGTAAGTTCTTTTAAAAAAAGTAAAATGGAACCAAGTTACAAAAGCAAGTAGTTTTGCCACAATTGCTAACAGGGTTTTAAGGAACAGAGCAATTGTAGTCTACAATAACTAAAACATGCCTGAAAAAGTTACAAGTAGATGTAAGTACTCAATTAACCATTGTCATTCAGTATAAGGTCAATACTGCCAATTTCATCTGTGACAATAGCACTTGGAGTCATACCATTGCCTCCATTATTGATCTGATCCTCCTCAATCCTCCTTTTGACAATCCTAAAATGATTGACATGTGCTCCACAATCCTTTAATCCAAAGCATTCTTAATCCATCTCTTCAGATATGTCTACAGAAAGACACACGAAAAGGCAAGGTAAAATATAAGATCCCCCAGAAGAGACAAGTTAACCACAAACATCCCAACATCCCCAGCTCGTATGAACCATAGCTGAACACTGAGACATTTACACAGCAATACCACAGTCTGAAGAGTGTGGGTATTTACTAGAACTAAATTTAAACAATCCTGACTATGACATCAATTAAAATACAATTTACCAAAGACATGAGGGGGAATGTTGATGTTAAGGAGCAAATACTCACTAGGGATTTTACACAAGAATGCAATTCAACACTTTAGCCAATTTGAATAAAACAGTTTGAATTAAAAAAAATGAAAAGACTGTACTGAGTAAAGAAAATTGTGTACAACATGGGTTCTACAAAAAGATCATAGCTAATGGTCATTTATGTACGAGAACGAGATCTGCTGTGACGGGGAGAGTAGCGTGGAGATCCTCTGCTTCTTCTTGGGGAATAACTGCGGCTTCTGCTGTTGCTTCGACTACGGCTCCTGCTACGACTACGGCTGCGTGACCGAGATCTTCCATAGCTTGGGCTTCTTGGACCATCAACTTTAACACGGATGTAGGCAGTTTCTCCCTATTAAATAGACACAACTTTCGATTGAAAGGTCTAAGCTTTTCAGCTCTCTTTTCAGGCATGCTGAGTACATTAAGTAAGACAAAGTCTTTTAAATAAAAACTGCCCTGTTTCTCTTTTGCTAACAAGGACTGCCTTACAATAAACATCAAATTCCATTTTTTCTACGGGCGCCAGCTGACACAGTTGAGCCTTCACTTCCTTACCTTCAGCTCCCATTGTTAAGCCCTGTGTATCCAATTCTGGCCCCAAAATAAGCAGGGAACCTACCTCATGAGATCTAAACTTAGTGTTATCCAGTTTTCGCACCGCGTAGGTCATATCTTCTTTCCGCACAAACTCCACGACACCAGTGCCATCTCGGAAAACATCAGCATAACATACATCACCTGCTTCACGCATGTGATCCTTCAAATCCTGCCAACTCCCACTTGGAGGCAGTCCTGAACAAAAACAGGTTACAGATTACCTCCAACGTCCACGGGATTGTTTACTACCCAGCTGCGCTGTACGTGCGGCTGGGCACAGCAGGTGCCTAGGAGATTTGAATAAGCTACCCCCGGGGGAGCCTTTCACGCTCTATAAATAATAAACGAGGGCTGTGCAACAAAGTTCCTTGGAGGAACAAAATCCCACGTGGCTCAACAGCTTCCCTGGGGGAAAGCCGCCCCTCGCCCCGCCCCCATACAACAACCCGGTAGCAGGCCGGATCTTACCCGAGACGATGACTCTGTATTCGGAGCGCCGGGACGGGGGCCCGTACCTGCCCCGGGGGGCTCCACCTCCTCCGCCACCGCCACCACCTCTGCCAGTGCCTCGGCCGCTCCGCGGGAACTCCACACGCAGGCGATACCCATCATAATCATACCCGTCCCGTCCATACACTGCGTCCTCCGCATCCCTGTGAGGCAAGGCGGGCCAGGGTGAGCGTGGCCTGCCCAGCCGTGCCCCGCCCTTTGTTCCCCCCCAGGCTGCTTTCCCGCCGGCCACGCCCCAGAGGGGGGGAACCAGGTGGTAACATCCCCATGCTTGGGGGAGGCAACGAAGTGAGAACAACTCCCATGCCTGGGGGGGAACCAGGCCCCATGGGGGGGAACCCGGTGGGAACAGCCCCATGCTGGGCAGAGGCAATGAAACAGGAACAACCCCCATAGCTAGAGGGGGTGGTGGAACCTGGCAGGAACAGCCTCCATGCAAGGGGGACACAGGGATGATTTTGAGGGAGTCCCAAGCACCAGCAGGGGGGGGCGTGGCATGAGCGGGGTCCCAGGCACCACGCGG